TTTCTTTCTTTCTTTCTTTCTTTCTTTCTTTCTTTCTTTCTAACAAATAAACCTTTAGATTATAGATACCAAAGGATTGGCATCAGCATGATTTTTGGGTAAGATCTGAGTTATATATTGACCTGGGTGTGCGGCTGGTCCTTTGGGATCAGAAGCACATATTATTGATTTTAAAGAACCACACATCTTTAAATCTAATGTTTTTGCTGGGGAACATGGAATGGGAGAATAACCACCAGTTTTGGGGTCTCTCTGCCCTATTTCTCAGCAGTTTGTCCTGAATTTGGTATTCACAGTTGTGACCCACAAAAGCACAGTTACAGCTACCCCGGGAGCCCAGGCTGCTGTGAGGATTCCCAGGCTCTCCACCTTCTCTGGGGATGTGTCTCAAGGGGCAGAGACATAGGCTGGGGCATTCTTTTGGGCCCCCCAGTCCCTTGCATAGGGCAGGTAGAGGATCTGGGGCTCCTCACAGAGGCTCTGGTTCCCTAATCAGCTCTTTCTAAGGACTGGCTCTGGCTTCTGGCCTGGGCAGGGGGTGGAGCTTCATTGGAGGAGGAGGAGCAGCAAGTGGGGCCTCCGGGGGGAAAAAGAGGGGCAGGGTCACTGAGGGGACGTGGCTCCCGGCCTGTGTCCCACTTTTGCTTTTTGAAAAGGTGGTCACCCTACACTGAATGGGCTGGGCTGGGATAGGAGTGAGTTGGGCCTGAGTTGAGGCCAGTTTCCATTGTTTTGCATTGCTGGGGCAGCACAAATGGAGCGGACGGGGAGGGAACCTATGCCTGAGTCTCTTACCTTTACTCCTGTGTGTCAGACCATTACTCAGACATGCAGTTCTGCCCTGCCTCAGTACAGAGTGGACATAGTAGGTGTGCTGTGTGCAAAGCCATTAATGAAGGGGTTGCCTGAATGGCTTCTCCTGATGCTCCTGTGTTAATCATGTCTCTGATACCACTCAGTCACAAGAACCTGGCAGAGGGTGTATCGGAAAGGTGGGTGTTCGTGCCCCTTGAATAGCCCCCATCCACAGCTGGTGCAGCACCCATTGGTCATACTGAACCCAGAGCGCTCAGGAAGGAACACGATTGTGACAGCACAACAGTTCTGCAGCTGTTTTCATAGCCCTTGTATGTTTAGCCAGAGATGGTACAGTGACAGGCCAGGTGTAATGGGAAACAATATCCACATTCCTACTCTTTATTGACTATCAACAGGAATTGTGAGATCAGAGCGGCCACCAATATGGCTCTTTATGGGCCAACATTGCACCGATCCCCTGGCTCTCCACAAACAGTCACTTTGTAAATGCTGCTCCCTGCCTTGGTCTCCCTCCCCCAGTGTCCAATCCTCCCTCACCATCCCTGTCATCCCTCATCAGACTTAGACCCCATCTAAACTTCTCTATGGACAGGAGTTCGGTAACTCATGTCATCTTGGATGTAAGGTCCATGATGGAATAGGTGGCCCATGTTTTTTGTCTCCCATGTCACTGGACCCAGGTGGTGAACTGACCCTTCACTTGATGAACATCCTGATTATCTTCACACGAAGGTGTTTGCTTTTCATACTGTACACAATTGGATTTATCATCGGTGGGAGAAGCAGGGAGATGTAGCCTATGAGAATCTGAAATAATGGAAAAGAGCCCTCCCCGAATCTGTGCATCACAGTCAAGCTGATCTCTGGTGTGTAGAAGAGCAGGAGGGTGCAGAAGTGGGAGACGCAGGTGTTCAGGGCCCTCAGGGACTCCTTGTAGGATGAGATGCTCAGCACTGTTTTGAGGATCATCACATAAGAGAGGAAGATGAGCAGCGAGTCCAACCCCATTGTTATGAGTTTAGTAAACAATCCATAGATGCTGTTGACTGTGATATCTGAACAAGCCATCTTCATGACCTCCTGGTGCAGGCAGTAGGAATGGGAGAGGACATTGGCTCGACAGTAGTGGAACCGTTTCAGGAGAAAGGGAAGTGGAAGTTTTATGACCATCGCTCTTAGCACAGCCACAAGTCCCATCTTGGCTATTCTCGGTGGGGTTAAGATGGTAGAATATCTCAGTGGGTTATGAATTGCGATGAAGCGGTCAAAGGCCATCAACAAAAGCACAGAGGATTCAATGCATTGAAGCAAGTGGATAAAGAACAGTTGGGCTAAACAGGCATTGAGGCTGATCTCCCTAGAGTTAAACAAATATATGCCCATTATGGTCGGTATGGTGGTTATCGATATGCCAAGGTCTGTGACGGCCAACATGGAAATGAAAATATACATGGGCTCATTGAGGCTTGGATCTCTTTTTACAGTGAACAGAATGACTGAATTTCCTATTATTGAAATAACATACATGAAGCAGAAGGGGATAGAAATCCAGAGATGTGTTTCTCCATGACTCGGTAGCCCGTAGAGAAGGAATATTACAGATTTTAATTTTGTGTCATTGACAGCTGACATAATGTACTGGGCAGGTCCAAGGCGTTCTGAAATGTCCTTCCTAAAAAAAAAAAAGAGGAGTTTACATTATATTTAGTAAGTAATCATTCCGCTCTCAGTGCAAGTCTACAGCCTCCCAGAGTTCAAGGTAGATAAGCAAAAACATACTCTAGGATTTATATGGATGTTGTCAGTCTGACTGGATGAGACATGTAGTCCATCTACCCCAGTAACCAGTGGCCATGTCCAGAAGCTTCAGAGGAAGGTGGAAGAAGCCATGAGTTAGGCAGCTATGAGAGAACCTGCTCCCAGAGAGTTTCTCCCTGACACCCACTAGTTAGACATATTTTGTGGTGTAAATCAGGAAGGTTCAGAGCCTCTCCAAAACTTTTTTAAAACAATCCTCTCTTCTGTTATTGGATTTTCTGTTTATTCAGTCCCTCTTTGAATCATGCTAAGCTCTCGACCCCATTGATACCTTGTGGCTGTGAATTCCACAGCCTACTTGAGCACTGTATGATTTTACCATTGTGACCTTAGAACATAAAAACATAGGGACAGCCATAGTGAGTGAGACGAAAGGTCCATCTACTCCAGTATCTTGTCTTCAGCAGTGGCTTATGCCAGGTACACCAGAGGGAATGAACAGAACAGGTCACAATGAAGTGATGCACCATCCATGAATTTATGTAGTTTTCTTTTGAACTTGTTATACCCTTCACACAGACACCATTTCTGGCTCTCCACTTGTGAGTGTGATCCCTTGTATCATGGTATGTGGGCAAATACACGGCAAGTGCATGGTGAAAATGGTTATTGTATTTATCTGTGCTGCACTGAAGCTATTTTAAAATCTGTGTTATAGCTTCATTATATGAATTATTTTTTTCTGCACCCTTTAAGGTCCAGGTTATGCAATTGCCTCTTCCCAACATATAGGTTTCATTTTTAGGGTCAGGTCTTTTAATAACAGTGATATCAACATCCTCACATCACAGTTTCATGTGTAAATTCAGTCAGAACCAGGCTCTATTAACTCACCCTTACCAAATACTCCCAGTGATATTCTCTGATCCTCAAGAATCCCTCGAAGAGAAGCTGAAATTGACTTAATCCAGAGACTGTGATCATTCTCCTGCTTCTCTTTATCCCACTGGGACCTGCGTCCTCTGCCCATGCAACAGTCTGTAGATATTTGGAAAATTACAAGCCAACACTGACAGTTATTTTAGCTGGGCAGGGGAGAAATTGGTGTCACAATTCGGTCAATACTTCATACACTGGTATTGCACTAATATCCACTTCAGTGTACAAGTTACCTCAGCCATTCTCATTTAATTGGTGATGGGGGTCAATTAGATAAAAAGTCTTTTACACTCCCCTTTCCTGCACCTCAGCTAAACTCTTTGCTGAAACCCAGACCAGTTACCACAAACAACACAGCTGTATTCACAATCAAGCTAGAGAATAAAATCTTTGACAATGTATTTGCTGATTAAATTTCCAGGAGCAAATAAACCCAAGTAGATTTGGGAACTAGTTACTTATATTCCGTGGGGTCTCCTGTCATTCAGCCCCTGGCAGGATCAGGCCCAGAGCACATGGCACCTGTAGAAATGGGACCCCTTGAGAAATCCTGTCTTGGGGCATCAGGGTTTTAACACTCCGAGCTCATGTTTCTGTGTAACTTGAATAACCCACTGAGCACCTTGGGCAGATGTAGAGAACAGGTTCCCAAGCTATCTAGTGCTGCCTGTCCTCCTGCCCCTGTTACGGAGTCACTCTGACAGCCCAGCCGAGTTCGCTGCGGTGGCACAGAACATCTTCAAATTTAAACAGCTCACAGCCTTTCCCCTTCACTGCATATTGTAAAGATAGTGAAACCTCCCAACGTACCCAATTCCTGCTAGAAGGGGATCTGCTGACACCAGCTGTCTTTACCATAACTGTCAAGGTATCGGTGGAGAGATTGCATGGGCAGCAGGCAGTATCTGTTCAGATAGGGAGGCAACTGTGTTTATGAAGCATGCCTGCACATTCCCTTGGGGGCCACCCAGGCATTAGGGAACCTCAGCTGCTTGGCTCCGTTTGCACGAGCTTTAACCCCTGTCACAGCCAATGGCACACTTCCAGAGGCCAAATCACAGGGGATGTTAACCAAGTGGACTGCAGCACAAGCCCTGCTGCAGGCTCTATTCCTAGAATCCGGGCTTGTCATCACTGTTCGAATGGTTCTGATTAGTCACAGGGCTACCTCGACGGCGGCTGAGTGGTAACAATGATGCTGTCCCAGCTGTGATCTTGCTGAAATAAAATAAAATAGAATAATAATATGGGGCTGATTACTCCCTGGCAGCCCCTTTCCTGCATTACAAACCCGGGGGTAGCCCAGGGAAGGGAGATTCCACAATGCTCCATACATGGAAATTTCCCTTGGATCCTTCCAGTAGGGGAGGACCCTTCCCTTCTCCATGAGGAACAAGGAATAAGGAAGAGGATTTTGGAGGGGAGTGTGGGAGTGTCACGGGGATGACGGGAGTTTCAGCACAGTCACCAGACCGGTGTTTGGAAGCCATTGCAAACAATGGAGCAGCAGACACAGGAGCCTCATCTTAGATGGTTTGATTGGGAGAAAGTAGTCTGAGGGCAAAGGTCAGCTTCACACCTTGACCCCGTAACACACTAAGCACAGAGCACTGTGGTGACTGGGCGCAGGCTCACACGGGTTTCAGCAAAAGCTGCTTCCACAAGAAATTAGTAAACAGATGGGAAGATGGTCTCAGAGACACAGGGACACAAGACTAGGTCGAAGCAGGGATTTAGGCATGGATGGGCCGGGGGGGGGTCCGACCCACTGAGCATCCAATCCACCAGCTGGGACTCCTGACTCCAGTTTTGTGCCCAGCTGTATCCCTCTCCTGCTGGTCCGTAGCACTGATTCCCTGGTGTCTTACCCCAGATGAGGATGTGCCTTGTTTGGGCCAGTAGTGGATCACACTGCTCCGTTCCGCCCACCTGCCACTCCTGTGGTGAAGCAAGGTCTGGGTGTGGGTGATTGCCCCTCTCCTCCACTTGGATGCCAGAGAGTGGGTCGGGACACTGGAATAGTGCTGGGCAGTAGGATTGGGGTAAGCCCAGCATCTCATAATGACTGGGTGGGGGAAGCGGAATAAGCCTCCACCCCCTGACATCATGCCCTGACCCCACCTGCATCCTTGATCCCATTTCCCCAGTTTGAGGGGAGCTGCAGAAAGGATGGAGAGGGAACCTCAGTTTTCCTGGCTGAGCCAGGGCCACACAAATCCCTAATCTCCCTCTGTAGGGGGCGATGGGGCTCCTGAAAGCTGGGCTCACCCAGTTTTCCTGTTCCAGCTACAACACTGGTCCCAAGAGCCCCTTGGCTTCCCAAAGGAATGTAAGTTGGATCATTTCTGTTTCATTATCTCCAGAACAAAGTCCGTCTAACTTAGCTTGTAGTGGTATATGAGCAGGGCAGGATTAACTCTTCTGGGGGCCAAGGGCTATTAGAATTTGTAGCCCCGCCTAGGCTCCAGGGTGGGGAGAAAGATGAGGGGTTCAGAGTGCGGGAGGGGGCTGCGGGTTGAGGCAGGAGGATGGGTGCAGGAGGGGGTGAGGGCTCCAACTGTGTATGTGGGCTCTGAGGTGGGTCTGAAGATGAGGAGTTTGCAGTGCAGGAGGGGCTCAGGTCAGTGGGTTGGAGTGGGGGTGTGGGGTCTTGGCAAGAGTTACGGTGTGGGGGAGGGCTTAGGGTTGTAGTGTGGGGTCTGGGAGGGACTTAGAGTTCAGGAGCAGGCTGGGGGTTTGGGTTTGGGGCCTGGTTAGGATATGCAAAGGGTGCTAAGGGTTGGGGCAGGGAGTTGGGGTGCAGGACACTTACCTGGGGCAAGTCCTGTTTGGTGGGGGGTGCAGGTAGCCCCACACAGTCCTGCGCTTGCCTGCAGATACCACCCCCCGCAGCAGTGGAAGGAGTTTCCTGATGCTTGCACCAGCTCTAGCCAGGAGGCAGGGGATGGCAGCTCCCTGTCGCTCATTCCCAGCTTCGGGGTTATGGAGGCTAGGGACACCACACCTTCCCATCGTGGCTAATAGCCATTGACTGACCTCTCCTCCATAAATGTGTGTATGTCTTTTTGATCCTTGTTATAGTCTTGGACTTCACAACATCCTGTAGCAAGGAATTCTGCAGGTTGTCTGTGCTTTGTGGGAAGAAATACTTCCTTTTATTTGTTTTAAACCTGCTGACTATTAATTTCATTTGGTGACCCCTAGTTCTTGTGTTGTGAGAAGTAGTAAACGACACTTCCTTCTTTACTTTCCCCACACCAGTCATGATTTTATACACCTCAATCATATCCCCCCTTAGTTGTCTCTTTTCGAAGTGGAAAAGTTACGTTTTCAAGTTACATTCCTTTGGAGCTCTTGGGACCCATTCTAGTTTTCCTGTGTCTCTGAGAGCATCTTCCCATCTGTGTACCTCTTTGTTGTGAAAGGAGCATTTGCTGAAACCTCTGTGAGACTGGTACCAAACCATTGTTCCTCTCTGGGGCTAGTGTTCGGGGTGGGGGTAGCTGGCATCTCATCATATTGAGATTACCAGGAACTCAGGGAATTAAACTCCTGTGACATCATTAAACAGGAACCCAAGAACAATTCATTTTCCAGATGAAAATGCCGAGTCATGCTTTCACCTGAATCTACTAAAGGACAAATCCATTGGCCTGGGCATGGATTAGGGTCATAGTGGACAAGCAACTCCACGTGAGCTCCCAGTGTGACTCAAATGGGCTAATGTTACCAATATGGACACAGGCCTGGAAAGGCCCTCCTGGGTCAGTGTGCCTGGTCCCCTGTTATGGCAGGAGACCCAGGCATATCATCCTGTGAATAAGCCTGTGTAAGCAGGGTCTGAGTGAGTTCTCCCGACAGCTATCCAGGAGGGGGAGAGACTTCAGAAGCAAACTTTATTTTCATGGACACACTTACTCTGCCTGGGTATCCAGCAGATAGAGTGGTGATGCTCAAAGTGATCAACTTTGGTTAGTGTTGGGTTACAAATCACTATCGTACTGAATGAATTGTGGGTGAAATGTTATCAATGTTATTCTTATTTTTTGTATGAATAAAGGGTAGCAGAACTGTGCTTAACCTGCCCCAAATGAGGGGGTCACCCTCAGCTGAAAGTATCACGTCAAGCAAGGTGCTCGATTGACAGATTCCTGTGAGAGTAATAGGGGTGGGGACAGGTGTCCTAGCCAGGATGTATGGCCCGGGCGCCTGCGTATTCTGGCAGCCAATAAGAGAAGGGCTTGTTGCGAGCCTATCAGAGAACAGATTGGGGACAGCCAATCAGGGCCCAGCTCAGCCATATAAAGGACTGCTCAGGGAGAGAGTAGTCAGTCGGTCCCAGGCCTTCAGAGGGGAAGGTCTGTCTCCAGAGCTGGGAGGCCAGCACCACAGACAGCACAGTGCAGGCCTTCCTTGGAGAGCGGGAGAAGGTCCTACTCCGTAGCCTGCCAGGCGGCAGGCCTGGAAGGAAAAGGCCTAGCGGGGAGAAGGGCCGTTGGGGAAGCGGTCCATAGGAGCAGGCAGAGGAGGAAGGAGAAGGAGGACAACAAGGCTGTCGCTAAAGGGCCTCTGGACCGGGACTCAGAGTAGTGGGCGGGCCTGGGTCCCTCCCCTTCCCCCCTTTTTTTGTTCCCTTTCGCCCTACACTCAGCCATAGGCCACAGGGAGCGGCCAGCTGGAACCATGCCAGATCCTGGACTGTAGGGATCGGACTTAAGGGTGGGGGACTGGTGATCATCCCACCGCACCCCCCCCCCA